TTTCCAGAACAAATCAGCACTATAAAACAGACTTGAAAACTAGTTTTAAAAAAGTGAGCAAAATAATAGCTTRATTTTACTTCTTTTACTAAACAATGTTTGGTCTTCCAATGAAGAGTGCTATGTTTTTAGACAGATAAATCATGTTCTTACAGTAATAAAAATAATTAACGAATAAATGCTTTGGTACCACCGGGAAGCCGAAAATTAGCTAGAGATTGCCTCGCGGAACAACAAAGCTAAATTTCTTATTCTTATTCTTCATTATTTTTTAAAAATTCCTGTTATATCATCCTTAACTTTCCTTATTTCGAGAAGCTTTTAAAGAAGTAAGTTTACTGGATTTTGAGCTTCGATTTTATGGGTTTTTATCTGCTTTCATTTGTGAAAAATACTGAGAAGACTGTMCCTGGAAAATGGCAAATACAAGAAATTTTTTTTAAAGAGTTGAAAACGTATCGACGCAGTATTCATCTTTATGCAAGAATTTTTTCAATAATCATCAAGTATGCCTCAAGAGTTCTAAAAGGGTAAATACAAAATAATTCAGTTATCCATTATGAAACCACTACAGTCTGTCCCTGGAAAATGGTAAATACAAGGAAAAAAATATAAAAGTTGAAAACGTATCGACGCGGTATTCATCTTTGTGCAAGAATTTTTTCAAGAAACATCAAGTATGCCTCAAGTGTTCAAAAAGGATAGATACAAAATAAATCAGTTAGCCATTATGAATTAAACCACTACAGACTTAGTAAATATTAGGTTAAACTATTTTAAAGCAAGCATGTTTACAAAATAGCTTTTATGGCCGAGGCAAGTCAAACTTTTTAAATTTCTAAATTGAAATGCTTCAAATTTTAACGATACGATATGAAACTACCTCTCGGTTGATCTAACTGAGTCAGGGCACGGCTAATTATGACTCTCAGGTCGAACCCTGAAAGCATCTCTGAGCTGATCAAAGTCAGAGATGACTTAGATTATCGCTGGTATGTATCGTGCGTGAAACTTAGTTTAGGCGTAATAGTTCTTGGGGAAAAGCCTAAGAATTTTCGGGAATTCGGGATTCAGGCTATGTTGTGATTCGGGAAATGGCTAGTTTTTTTTTAGTCACGAAGCGTTGAATCGAGTTTGCGTGAGTTGTCTAAATAGGCCGTTGTGTCACTCACGTGAGTGCACTCACTTACTCACTCACAAAGATGCATGATAGCAGGTCGATATTCAAACGATTATTAATTGTCTTACGTCGACTGGTGACGAACTTTATACGAAAAAATTACTTTCGAATTTTGTACGAATACGAAAGCCATTCGAAAATRTGTATCTGTAGAACATGAGTATATTGGTTATTATTATTTTACTCTTCGATATGGGATGATATCTAGCATGATTGAGCGATTTGCATACTGACATAGACATTCCCCCCACCATCACCACCCTGGACTAACAATTCTTTCTTAATTGCTTTCTAAAATAAGTACAAAATAGAAAAGGAATAGTGTTTTCTCTGCCGCCGTGAAATTTCTCTTGTATGGTCGTGTTGCTTGGAAATAAATCACGAATGGTTCAAGAAAGAACTTGCATGGATGCGGCTTTTTGCCTACCACAAGTTGATAAGACATCCGCGATCCCTATCTTGC